ACCTGAAGTTAAAATAAAGGCTTGCATTAATTAATATCACTTTGTCGGGTTGGTCAAACAAAATATTAGGATACTTACATGTAAAGATATTAGCACAAGATTACATTCAATGCACCTAGGGTCTGAGATGTTCTCAGTTTTCAGGGTAGATACTCTTCATTCATTAAAAAAAAAGCTACAAAACTAAATTGCCTTTAATTTCTGAACATGAGGAGGAAACCTGCTTATTTCCGGAATGATAGTATCTTGCAATAACTATATTTTTTGTTTATTCAGTCTGGTTCCAGCTCTTGATATTTGTTGTTGCAATATTTTGAGGCGTAAGTAATAGATAACTTTTAACATCAATAATTTTTATTAAAAGACGTGCTGGAGCCAGAGGGGAGCTGGTGAGGGGGCTTAAATCCTACATGGACTCTAGTGATTCTGTTGTAAGTAAAAAGACATTTGCTGCAGAAAATCTAGAAATGGCTTTAAACATTTTGATCAGCCACTGAGCAAAGGGCAAGGTAGAGTTGACTAGCTTTCCAATTCTCTCTGCTGGCCTCTGAAGAAATTCCCCTTCCATCTGTGTCAATCATCAACAATAACTTACATTTTTACAGTATGAGAAAGATGTCTCAGACTGCTATCCAGGGGAAAGGGCACAAAATGCACACCAAGCTGGAGAACAAAGAAATTTGGAGCTAAAAGTAAAATGATGGGGAACAACGTCTAAGGAGACAGCAACAGCAGCAATCAAAATGGAAGCAGAGTATCTAAAACGGCAGACAACAACGGTGGAGTGGAAGGAAAGAGGTGCAAGCTAGACTCAAAGGAAGGGACATTATACAGAGTGACACATGACTGAAAGACATGACCATATAATGAGAGACAAGGCAAGATTGTGGCAGAGACCTCACCTGCAGTATTGAGTGCAATTTTGGTTTCTCTACCTAAGAAAGGATATAGTTGCCACAGAGGGAGTACTGTGAAGGTTCACTAGACTGATACCAGGTACGGCAGGAGTGTCCTAGGAGGAAAGATTGGTTCAACCAGCACTGTATTCACTAGAGTTACGAGGATACATGGAATCAGTTTGAAAGGTATAAAATTCTAACAGGGCTGGACAAACTAGATGCAGGGAGCATGTTTTTCCTGGGTGGGGAGTCTACAATCGGGGGTCACAGTCTCAGGTTACCGAGTAGGCCACTTAAGACTGAGATGAGGAATAGTTTCTTCACTCAAAGGGTAGTGAACCTGTGGAATTCTCTACCACAGAACGCTTTGGAGATAAGTCACTGAATATATTCAAGAAAGAAAGAGATAAATTTTAAAGGCATCAAGGAGTAAGGGAGAAAGCAGAAATATGGCCTTCACATAGGTGATCAGCCACGATATATTAAATGGATAAGCAATCCTGAAAGGTCAAATGGCGTAATCCTGTTCCTAGTTTCTATGGTTGAGAGAAAGAACGCAGTGGAGTGCCAGGGGATGAATCACTCCTTCAGAGAATCAGCACAGACACAATGGTCTCCTTCTATGTTGTAACCATTCTGATTCCATGCTGTCAGTCTCTATCCTTCCATCTAATTCTTATTAAGATCAGAATCAGTTACAACATTCCATTGAAAACAGAACAATATGGTATTAAACCGACTGTGTTTTACCGATATGCAAGACAGTGACAAGATTTTTAAACGTTCAATATTATAAAATATTTATTGTTATAATACCTGATTCCTAAAGGAATATATTGAGAGACAAAATTTTGCATTTTTAGCCTGTATGCAGTTGCAAACTCCAGTCAAATAATGTCACTGTGGAGCTACCTAACTTTTCAATATCCAGCAGCTGTAAAGATCAAACTTCTCATTTTGTATTGTAACTTTCACATACCAAGGACATCTGAAAGTGCTTCACAGCCAGGGAATTTTGTAATATTGTCATGGGTGTTATACAGCAGTCAATTTGCCTACATCAAGGTCCTCAAAACAACAAATGAGATAAGTGACTGCTTTGCCTGCTTCAACGGTTTTGAGTGGGAGATAAATGTGGACCAGAACACTCTGAACTTCTTTAAATAATACCATGCAATCTTTTACGCAAATCCAATCAGAAAAACAGGACTTTGATTTAAGGTCTCATCTGAAACACAGCATGTCTGACAACACACTGGTGCCAGTCCAGCTTACGTACCCAAAAACTAGATTGAGATTTAAACCCAATACTTCAATTTCTTGCCTTGAAGGCAAGAGTTTCACTACTGGGTAAATGAGGCGTGTAATTTTTCTTTATTAAGAAGTCATTTTTAAAAATTATTGCGCCATTACAGAGCTTCCAACAGTGCTAACAGCACGTTGCAATCAAGCACTTCTCTTCTATTCATAAATTTGCATTTGCACCTTTTCCACCTCTAAGTCACTACATCTTACCTTCCAGAGACTATGAAGCCTCTTACCTCATCCTATATCTTATAAAGGCATATCATATCCATAACTTTTAAGCCTATAATTGTGCTGATGTACAAACTTTTGGAATTTTCTTTTCAAAACAAGCCAATCACATCAATTATGAACTGCTCTTTCTGAAGAAGGATTACTGGAACAAAATGTTAACTCTACTGTCTCTCCACAGATGCTATCAGACTTGCTAAGTTTCTCCAGCGATTTCTGTCTTTGTTTCCTAATTTAAGACTCCCCTATTTCTGATTCCCACCCAAAATAGCATTTCAATAGTAATTAGCCCAATAAGCAGAACCACCTCACCCGTTCCTCCACATCAGCATCACATTCTTACCTCCATATCCATTTCAACCTTGATTAGTCAAACCCCTCCTTCCATAATACACAACCTTTACTTCCAGAGCCGCCCCTCCCCCAATGCGCAGGTAAATTTCAGTTCCTGTACCATTTCTTCCTCACTCCTCAATAAGTAGGGCAATCACAGACTTACTTCCACATTCCTTTCATCAAGTACCCCTTCAAAATCATTAAAATGGGGCCCGAGAAACCATTTCTTCCCAAAGACAAATTATCCAAACAACCTCCATCCCTGCGGCATCTGCACCCAGGCGGAATTATAATGAGGGTATGCTCGAATGGCCACCAATTTATAATCACTTGTCATCCTGCTTCCACTTTTCTTTTAATTAACATATTGAATCTTAAAGATAAACTGAAGAAACTAATAATCCCTGGCTATCGTATGTGCTTATTGAAAGACACTGCAAATACTCTGCCCATTGATGTCCATGAGATCAAGAGACAGATATCGAGAGACCTGGATAGAGAAGAGTAGATGAGAAACACGCTGAAATAAAAGATACATGTCTAGAAGCACTAATTATAATCACTAATTACAAAGTTTGTAGAGATACAAGACTGAAATAATTCACCACCCCCACAGATTTAAACAGTCACCAGAAGTGACTACCATGTTCCTCCTCACCCCGCTCCAATTTCATTCCGCCAAATACACATCCCTCCCCCACAGTGATGTCAAACCAAATGACTTATCCCTATCTGTAAACCTCTTCAGAATCACCAAAGTGATGTCCTATTGAAGAGCTATGCTCCCCACACCCTAACAAATAAAACTACTTCTAACTCAACCCAAGACCATTCACAGGACTATCATACCACAGAATCACTTCCAACCCACCTAATCTCTATTTTCCTAGAATTACTAAATACAAGAAACAAAACTCTGCTGTATTTTCTTGACTTTCAAACTTGGATAAGGAATAACAATGAATGTATAGAGAAAGGAATACACGCCAGGAAAAAAACCTTCCTCTTACAGAGAAATGGATAGGGTCCTGGAATTCAATCTAAAGCTCTCAAGCATCCAAAATAAAACTGAACTTTTGTATTAAGTTACTTTAAATCAATTGGCACTGATGTTATTCTTAGAAGGCACAAGCATCCTTACAGCTAGAAAACTGCATATTTAACTCACTGTGAGCATCTCTAAGGGATTCTGCTGGTAAACAAAATCAATATTGTGTCATGTCCTATGAAGGCATGTCATATCCAGACCTTTTAAGCACAAACTTGTGCTGCTGTGCAACCTATTGGAATTGGTTCTTGTTCTTAAATGGATAATGGGCTGCAAATGATGGTCATTGAGGACATAGGAATGTGTACAACTTTAGCTACTGAATTCACTTAAACTACAGAATCCTTTCTTCATTAGCCTGCACCATTTTATTTTCAAAATTAGTCAATCACTTCAATTATGAATTGTTCTTTTCTTTATATCTTGTAGAAGTGCACTATTCTCTTTAATTACACTTCCCTTGTGTGTGACTAGACAGTGAATGGAATAGCATTAGATTTTCAGAATGAATGTGTGAATGAATAATCATCTTTATTTAAACCCACAAAAAGCTTGCTGCTTATCATACAAATTGTCCACACACCCAGGAGATAAGAAACACACACATCTTCCTTTTCAAATACAATACTCATTATAGTCAGGAAGTGAAAAGGGGTTTCAACATTTCTTTCTCATCCTGCTGTAACAACTGGAAAGAGCAATGAATTCAAATTGAGAATGGCAAAACCATAACTTTCAGCATCTTTGAGCTAAGAGATTTAAACTCTTGATCTTTTCATTTGAATGATTTATAGATATAATTAAAAGTAGCTTTCATTTTCACAATGCAGTTGAAATTTTTTAACATTCCAAGTTACATTTTCTTCAAGCATTATGATATATTGAATCTGCAGGAACTGTATTTGAACTATATACATATGAGATTCTAATTATACAGCTGCAACGTACTATTTGGTCAACCCATAAGTGCCATATTATAGCCAAGACCAGCTTTATGTCATGATTGCGTATATTTATGCACTGTGAGAGGTTTAATAACTGAATGCACACAACATTAACCATTGCAAATATTTGAGCTGTTTTTGGCTTGGTCTCATGAACAACACACAATTAAACTGAATTAGCCTCACAAAGACTGTGCAATTAAATTGAAAACAGAACTTTGTCATTGAATAATGTACCTGGAAATCGCTTATAATTTTCATAATCTTTGGAGCATGGTATCTCAAAAAATATTCCATCCAAAACATCAGCCTGGCGTGCAAGCACCTCTTTAAAATCGTCCTTGTGTAGATAATCCCAAAGCAAGACTACACAAAAAGCAGTAAACGTGGTAGATGTCAGAATTATTAACCACTTCCACCACGCTGCATGCCTGGACTTGTTCTTTCTCATACTGTAATTAAAAGAAAATATTGAATGCATCAATAAGCTTCCGTTATTCTTTTTTCAAGTTGCTAGTTCTTATGCAATGATCAACTATGCATATTGAATGTAATCATCAATCTTTAACTTTACATAAATTCATTTTATTCATCACCTGCAGGACTTTGCTCTTAAGTGAATAATAATTATAATAAAAAGAAAAGAAAGGACAAACAAAAAAGGATGAGCAGAAATGGTCTTGGTGGGGGGGAGGAGGAGGGTGGTGTACGTGAAGCAGGGGAAGGTAGGAAGATAAAAAGACAAGGATCAATAAGATCCAAAAGGAGGAATGGCGTGTGATTTTTGGAGGTTTACAGGAAAGAAGAAAAGTCTGGAGGCAAGTAGTGAGACTGAAAACAAGAACAGTAGCCAACAGTAGGTGCAGACCCCTTAAAAAGAATGTAAATGAAATGGATGTGGGACATTATCAGCCTCCCACTCTACTTTCCTTAGTATGTGGACATCCAATCAGAGCTGCACCAGACAAAACTGAGGTTTGGGCTAACTCAAGAACTTCTAACGCTCAAAACATTTGCAGGAATCCAGGGCCAGCCTGAAGACTTTCCTCACCCTACTTCACCCAGTCCCATTGGCAGAAGTTGATATGTCTCTTCTTTACCTTTTATGAAGGGACCGTCGTTGTTCCTCTCAACTATTCTGTGTAATATCAAATTCTGCACTCTAATTACTCTCTGGTTAAAGAAGATTCCTCAATATATTTGCTGGATTTATTACTTACTATTTTATCCTTGCTGCCTTTTTTGGACTTTCCAAAGTTCAAATATCTACATCCAGATTACTGCTGACATAAGGAAAGATGCCTATAAGAAGTAGTAATTTCTGCGCTGTGAATGTCACATTTTCCTGTGTGCGTTTGAATCTAGTGCCGAGTGAAGGGGATCACCAGACATCCTGCAATAATTATGTCATCAAGTATGATATGCAGCCAATCACATTGAAAGTTTTGCATAGACATATAACCAGGAAGTAAAATTCATAATTATGCTTCATCTCTAACTGCTCTACACAGGAAAGGAGGGAGAGAATGCAGGATACCATTGGCCAGTTAGCCTATTATCTGTCATAGGGAAAATGCTGGAATCCATCAATAAGGAAGTTCAAGGCCAGGCATTTCAAAAATCTCAATGCAATCTGGCAGAGTCAACATAGTTTTGTGAAAGGGAAATCATTCTGGACCGAGTTATCAGCATTCTTTGAGGAACTAACAAGCAACATCGATAAAGGAAAACCTGCAGCTGTGGTATACTTGGATTTCCAGAAGTTATTTGACAAGGTGTCACTTCAGAAGTTACCAAATTAAGAAGTTACCAATAAGAGTTGCTAAATTTGAGGATGACACAAAAGTAAGTAGGAAAGTAAGTTCTGAAGAGGACGTGCAAAGGGATACAGATAGGTTCAGTAAACATAAAATTGGAGTATAAAGTGGGAAATTGCGAGCTTGTCCTCTTTGATATGAATAATACAAAAACAACAAATCATTTAAATGGAGAGAAACTGCAGAAGTGGGTTCCCTGGTACATGAATCACAAAATATTACTATGCAAGTACAACATGTGATTAAGAAGTCAAATGAAATGGTGTTGTTTATTGCAAGAAAAACTAAAATAGAGAAGTTTTCCACTGTCATTCAGGGCATTGGCATGATTACATTTTCAGCAATGCATAAATCTGGTGCCTTAATTAAGGAATGAGATATTTGCATTAGAAGTAAATAGAAGGTTCAGTCAATTGCTTTCTGGGATGAGGGATTTACCTGATGAGGAAAGGCTGGACAGGTTGGGCTTGAATCCACCGGAGTTTAGAAGAATGAAAGGTAATGTCATTGAATCATTTGATCCTGAGAGGACTTGACAGGGAAGATGCTAAAAGGAAGTTTGCCCAGAACTAGGGGACAAAGTGTAAAATAAATAAATGAATAATTTAAAGTAGAGATTGGAATTTTTTTTTTCTCTAGGAGGGTCAGAGGTCTGTGGAATTCTCTTCTGTGGAATATTGGATGCAGGGATATTGGATATTTTTAAGGTGGATATAGAAAGATTCTTGACTAACAAGGGACTTGAAGGACATTAACGGTAGTCAGAAAATGAGAGATGACAGCACAGTCAGATCAGCTGAAAGTTGAATTGAGGGGCTGAATGGTCTACTCCTGTTGTTAATTTGTCTGTTTTTATTTTTTGTAAGTTTGACTGAGAGCAAAATAAATACTGACTCATAGAGGTTGGTAGTTGCAATGCCATAAACATACTTATAACAAAAAACAATTAATTCTATTTGAAAAAAAACTGTGGATTTAAATGACCTTATTAACCAGCAGAGTGACTTTTAATTCTTTATGTGTCTGTTTCCCCAAATCTATTTGCTCCTGTATCCCATTTAACGTCTTTATTTGTCAAGAGACATGTGGTTTCCTTACCCTTCCTCCCAAACTGTACCATCTTGAACTGAACTCTATCTAAACAGTGGCCAGTCTGACACTGCAGTATTATATTTTTTTACCTTGTTGCAGTCCACTCTGTATTAATTACACCAGTCCTTTCTTTCTTGTATATGTGTGCGCATAAAGTCAGAAGGACCACCCAGGTTTGCATGTGACAGTCATCCTGGTTTGAACTTGCGAGTTTGGTGCATATCACTTTAAACTGATGCCATCAAAATATGGAGTTTGGAAACAACAGCACAGAATATTTGAAAATTAAATTATTCTACTTATGGACAGAAGGCAAAGATAAACAGTTTTTTAAAAAAACATAAAGTTGAATAAAGTAAGTCTTAAGCAGCTGCTTTACCGGCCTCTACGATCAACAGTTTTTAACTAATTAGGAGCTGTTTTATTTTGAACACTTCTGGAATGAATAAATAAATGAAACACAAAAATAAACACTCAATTTGATGTCATCTGAAAATTTCAGAACTATATGTATCTT